GCTTATGAAGTATGCAATTCACCTCTGCATGGGTCGCGCCGTTGGAAGACTTCCATGGCCATTGACGGTTTTCCGTCTTCTCGAAAAAAAATCTTTATGGATGAAACATGTCCTATACGGAGGTTTTATTCAACAATCCCCGTTCTCCTGTCGTCTACCACTGCTTACGTACTTTCTTATCCTCTATCTTATCTGACATTGAGCCAATTAACAATTGATGATACTAACTCTTCGTTGACGCTGAAGCTGAAGGTGAAGAATAGCCAGGCGTGGTGTTAGGACTTCGTGCAAAGTGACTGCATAGAAGATGTGTGGATGAACTGCAAGGCCGACGCCTTCGACGTTTCGTATCAGCAACTTCGCTTCCGAATGGCAATAATTCCTGCATCTAATTGTCTTAAGTCGCTCCTCTTCCTTTTCGTTTATGGTGCAACTATCATATGAGAGTGATTTTTTTTGCTAGGTTTTGTTTCCTTATCCAGTAACGTCTTGTTGAACACGAGATTTGATTCCCTCTAGCTGATTTTCTCACCGCGCGGCGTTGTAGACGAGAGCACTAATCGTGCAGGGTATTGCGGCAAAAAATCCCTTGCTGGTTTGGCTGTTTTTCTTTCCTGGAGCTTTGAAGTCAGCCTAGGTAGAGCGCTTCCCAGTTTGCGTCAAATTTGCAGTCTCTGGTTCATGTATATCATGGAAATCAAGAAAACGTATCTTAATTAGCTGACGCGAGATTGGTAAATTAGTCGTAGAAGGTCAGCTGACGTTTCGGCGACCCGCCTTCTCCAGAGCCTGGGCGTATGTAGTATTAGTCTAATACTACATATACTGCGACTAATACTACATACGCCCAGGCTCTGAAGAAGGCGGGTTGCCGAAACGTCAGGCGAATTTCTACGACTAATTACCAACCTCGCGTCATCTAATCAAGATAAGTTTTCTCGATTTTCATAGAACAACTAATTATGCAGAGGTTTATAGAAAGTCGAACATTGAATTATCAGAGGGAAATTACCACCTTGCGGCTAGTGCTACCAAGAAGACAGTGGTTTCTGGTATGGTTCGCTCTTAGATGAGTTTTTTGAGGTGAAAACGTTGGACTACCTCTCGGCATTAGAAGCCCTGCTCAGAGAGTAAACTTCTCGTTATACTTTTTAGCCCGACACATAGAGCCACCTCCGAGCCACGATGAAGTGGTAAACCATTTAAGTATTTCAGATTAGACTCATGATTACTTTGAAAATTCAGCATAGCTGCAGGATACTGAAATATAACCAAAACTCGTGGCAAGCAACTTTTACTCTTTGCAAGGCTCATATACTGACCACGATACCAGCGGAAACTCTTGCTGTGCCTTTTCTTCAGTCATCTTCTGACTTTAAATAACTGCTTCAAAGTTCAGCAAATCATCGTGAGACTCTTCATCATTACTCATAAACAAGTTACACCGCAAAGAAGCAAAGAAGTCGGTTGAAGACGCTAGAGAAATCCAATGTATGTGAAGCTGCTTAGCAGCACAGACGCAGAACCATTTTCAAAGTATTTACTTGCAGGCTCATCCTTATTATTTTTCAATACCGTGATTGCCGAACGAAGACAAGCAATACTCAAACATATCTTGGACACCGAGTCCGTAAGTGTTACAGCCACACTCTCAAGTTAATACTCCTAGTACTTTATTTTTGTCAAAAGTTTACATTTGATATAACAGTCTAATTTTAGAAAGTCTCGAGTCTACAGAACTCTTCCTTTGGAGTCCACAGTCAAAGCTTCCGTCCTCTTATTGCCAAATGTAAATTAACAAAGATTTTCTCTACATAAGTAGACAATGTATGATAATTTTGGAGTGTAGAGAGTAGTCGTTCCAATGATGCTTGTGTAAGATACAATCTTGTTTCCACAAAAGTAATGAAAAATTCAAATTTCAGAAAATTTGAAAGTTCTCGAATAATTTCGCCACACTTCCTAATTTGAGTACTTGTGGATTTAGAAGATCTATTTACTTTTCGGATGAATCTACAAAAGTGTTCTTGAAACAGTGTCACATCTTTTTTCGAGGAATAAACACTAGGTTATCATTACACTAGTCCTTTACAACAGCTGACGTTTCGAAGGATATCGCCTTCTTCATGACTTCAAAAGTCAGCTTGGCTAACTGTGGCCCGCCTAGCCCCTCTATGTACGAAACACAGCTTTGAATCGCGTTAGGAAGCCAACAACTTTTCCATGTACTCACCACTTCTAGTATGTTTCCCATTGTGTATTCGACACGTATACCTGCTTCGAACATTATTATCGTAAATATGAGACGCGTAAAAAATTTGTCAATTTTTACAGATATTTCAACACTGAAAAAAACTATTTAGACAAGTTAATTCATTCAATAAAGAGAAAAATTACATTTATTAGATCACTAATTACATCAAAAATGAGCAAACGAAAATTTGCAAGAATTTTTCAAAATTGCCTTCTTTGGCCTTTATGTATTTACAAAGTCGCTTGCGAAAATTTATAACTATGCTCGCCCACTTTTCCACCGCAACTTCGTCTCAACTGTGTGTTAAAGTAGTTTTAAGCGCGTCTAAGCTAGTGTAGCAAATAGCCGGGACTTTTTCTTACAAGCTCAAACGGAGTAATCTGTTGGGATGAGAAGTTTGACGGCCAAATGCCTCTACGCTAAAACCCTCCAAACTGCTTTTGAGAGATGGCAATCATTGATTGGATCGAACGCGAAAGAGCCCAGTCCTGGTAAAGCGTAAATCTGTTGGCACCAAATTGTTGAGTTATCAAAAGCTCCGTACGCTTCGTACAACTTGCTGCTATTAGCTGGAGCATTCCTTTTGACGCTTCCGTTCATGAAGACCAACGACGTCTTTCCGGTGGTGCAAATGCTGGCCTAAATCATCACAAAGGCTGAAAGATGAATGCGGTCATGGTTTTTGGCATAAACTTCTGCTGGCCCTTCTTGAAAAGTTTACATCGACTCTGGCGATTGTGAAATGGTGTAATCATGAATATATGCTCATCTGGTGGAAACGTGTACGTGTAAGAGCATCGCTGTAAATTTTCACAAGAGACTTCGTAAATCTATAAAGGCCAAAGCAGGAAATTTTAAGAATTTGTTATAGACTTTTTTCCTTATTGCTGTAATTCTTGGTATAGCAAACGTTATTATTCCTTCAATTCAATGATTTCATTTGTTTGTGCATCCGTACAGTATGGGATGGACCAATGTTTTAAGTTGTCAAATAAAGGATCAGAGTACATAAAATTCATTCGAAAAAAAGTTGGAAGTAAATACGCTCCAATTTCTGAACAACCAAGTTAATCGATACTAAAGCAATTTGAAGGGAAAGTACATCCTTTAAACTGCTGTTTTATTTGTTCCCCTATTTCAATTCGGGTTCTTGCTAGAATGCTGTACATGCTGAAGAATGTTTTAGTAACCTTAGCCAAAAGGCCGTAGCACCATCGTTGGTACAGTGGTTCTGGTCCGTTCCTCGCCTTTGAACGCCACGCGGATCTTAAGGAATTTGTTGCCCGTTCTTCTGCGGACACGTGATTCAGTTATTGATTTGTCCAATAAACAACAGTTAATAACTCAAAGAATTGTTAGTGATCTCCAGTTGAACCAACAAGGAATCTCTAGTATACGAACAACCTATAAACAGGAATATTACCATAACAATATATACACATTCACGATGCGGTTTCACATATAAGTTGCGTAGCGACAAACTATGTCTTCTAATGCAAAGACAAAGGACTAAGATCCAGCAATTATACTCGAGCGTAATGACAAGTTCGGTTCGATATTAACCGACTGATGAAGCTAAACGATGAGTCCCGAATGAGAAGCAAGGAACAAAGGACAAGCGACCACACGAGGCGAAGACAACAGCAAGACAAGACGGATAAAGACGTGGAGGCACCGGCGTCGAAGCTGAGTCATCGTTCTCGAACTTTCCGTAAGTGCCGTAGTGGCCGTGGAAAGCGATCACCTTATATGGAGCACGGATGTATTGATGTTTCACGTAGTCTTCGTAAGTCCACAGAGGAGAGTGTCCAGTCGGTTGTCGAAATTGAAGGTCGGTGGGGTTGCGTACAAAGGAGGGTGATTAAATATGGGACTGTGCGCTTTACCCTCGGTGGCGAGTTTCACGTGCCTTGTTGTGAAGTTCCGTCACCTGGTGATCGCCTCCACCGCTCCACAGCAAGAACCGCAATTTGGTGATCACTCAGTTCTCGCTGCCGATGTTACAACAGTATGAAAGTATCCGACTCGACAGAAAGACCGCTTTAGACGTGATCACCATAGCTCCTCGTATGTGTTCTCCGTGGCGCAACCCAGAATAGTTCAGCTCAAACTCCCCGCACTACGAGTCCTAAACGATTAATTTGTTAACACGACAATCACCGGTCAAAAGGTTTGAAATAACAACAAAGCCTTGCGGGAGTTGTTATAGTTGGTCATTCAAGTGAAATGGACTGCCACAAAACGATACCTCGATGGACATTTCATGCATTGACCGACCACGACGGCGCTGCCCGCGTAATCATATATGAGAGTTTTCTGCTGCAACCAAACAGGCAGAGCTTTCACAAATCAAATTGCCTCAAATGAGTTGTGGATTTATTGCTAGAACAACGAGCGCCACGCCTTATGGCTACCTCCCGGCGATGACCCGCCAGCTCGACAAATGCCAAAGTTCTATGCACTGATATATTCAGTGTTATAGAGTGATGTGCAAAACTTCAGCGCCAGGCGGGACTAGAACCCGCACCTCACTCTTTCTGGGAATGCGTGGTCTATCCGTTACACTACTGACGCCCATTTTGCTCATCGCTGCTACGCTAAAGCGCACCGATCTGTCAGCAGCCAGCCGTCAACGGTCTGCCCGGGTAGTCGGTCTCGACATTGAACCCAGTCACGCTGACAGATATTGGGTATTGTAATCGGTGATCGGTGCGCTTCAGCGTAGAAAGAGCGATGTGCAAAATGGGTGTCAGTAGTGTAACGGATAGAGCACGCACTCCCGGACAGAGTGAGCTGCGGGTTCTATTCCCGTTTGGCGCTTAAGTTTTGCACACCACTCTACAACACTGAATATATATGTATAATATCATACCACCGCAAAAAAAGGGGGTCAAATAAAAATGATTTCATTTAAACTACACTAATAGTTTCTGGGGCTGGGAAGACATGCTGCTTTGGTAACGGCTCGACAACAAGCAGGCAATCAACCTCTATTTCTACGGGAAGAGATTCCAGAAGCTGGCTGCAGCAGAGCGAAAGAGGGGTGTGAAGCAACTTGATATTGTTCTTCTGAAGGGTTAATTCTCAAGCTTTCAGCAAAATCAACTTGCCAGAAAGTGGAGAGACTGTGCTAAACTATGGTACCGCATTCTCCGCATATTTATAAAACTCCTCCATCGAATTTATCTTTTTTCACGCAGTGAAGCAGCTTATCATGCGAGGAAAATCTAAAAACTACAAGCAGCTCAAAATCGACCTCAGCAACTGTTATGACCACCTAAGATTTGCACTCGTGCAAGAGAATCTGCGGAAGGATGAGTGGAGAGCGAAGCATAACCAAAGTGGCATCATAGTGCTTAGGTTTATTATGCGTTCTTTCAACTAGAACTGCGTTCAAGAAGTCCCTCTGGTAAAAATCTGCCTACCTTTAAGTAGTGAGAAGTTTTCTATTAGAACAAAATATAGAACTTCTCGGTTATGAGGGAAAAGTGAACGTTCGACTTCATTTGCTGCGCAAGAATATTCCATAGGGATGTAAGTCTTCTTCGAAAGCTCAGATTTCTGGCCACAGCCCCGCATGGCCTGTTTACAAAAAATTATGTTACATACCCACCGTGCGTCTTCATTTTTGTGGGGTATGATATCCCGGGAACACGAAAAGCATATGAAGTTACAAAGGAACTTTCGCAGCATGGTAGTCAATCGTTTTGTCTGGAATTTCTCTTAAAGCGGAAAAAATCTTCAGTGGAATATCAAGATGTTGAAGGCGATCAATCGCCCCGCCTCCCCGCCCCGCCCCTTCCTTGCTCCTGTACCGGAATAGTCGCAAAAGAGGCTCGCCAAAAGTGTAAAGCTCAATTATAGTCTCATTGCTAGACGGTAATTCCAAGAGTTGATGAACGCGTTATTTTCAAGAAGTCAGTGTTTGGACATCATGTGAGGAAACAACGTTTATCTGATACATTACTGGATGCATATGCTTATAAAAAGTAGGAAACCTGTTACAAATATTTTAGGGTTCTCTCCCAGTTTCTTCGCTTCTTTTCGCATCCTCAGTTAACGATTAAAATTGGTGAACGCTTCAATTTGATGAAAACAGTGTGTAAAATATTACGTAATGGGACTATATCGATCTGATACACTACTGAGTTTATATAAATTTTTAAAACGTCTGCCTGCTGTAACAAACGGCTATGTATTTTCTCGCATTTCCTCGCCGCTTCTAATATCCTCAGTGAACGACTGACTGTTGATGAACGCTTTAATTTGATGAAGGAGAGTGCAGAAACATTCGGTACCGAGGTAATATCGATCTGATACATTATTGAGTTCATATGAATTCTTGAAAAGTGCTCCCACTGCAGCAAGCAACATAGTGCTTCGACACTCCTTTCCGTATGCTAAGTGAAGCATTATAGCAGAGTTCTGAACGATTCTATTTCAAACAAGATACCTTGTAGAAATGGTAGGCAACGGAAGAACATTGATCTGAAGCACTCCTGTTTTTTTTTCATGAATTTTGAACAGTGTGCTGTCTGTAACAAACAGTGAACTGTTGTCTTCGCATTTCGTCTCTCATTTCCGTATAATCGGTAAAGGATTAAGAGTTGGGGAATGCTTTATTGAAAGAAGAAGGTGCGTGGAAACATCAGGCAGCGAAATGAAATAGGTCTGATAAATCACTGAACTTATATGAAATTTTGAACAGTGTGCCCGGGTGCAGAAACAGGTAATGAAACGAAGTAGATCTGACACATTACCAAACTTATATGAATTTTTGAAAAGTGTGATCGTTTGTAACAAGCGGCTGGGTATTTTCCTCGTATTTTCACCGCTTCTTTTGGTATCCTTATTGAACAATCAGAAGTTCTTAGCGGCTTCATTCTGGAGAAAAGAGTGTTAAGAACATCATGTGAGGAGGCAACGCCGATCTGATACACTACCGTTTTATATAAATCAATAAAAGTATGCCATTGGGGCAAATAATTGAGTGTCTTTCTGTATTTTCCACTCCGTTCCGTGTTCTCACTGAACGGTTTTGTGCTCTAAACGATTTCATTTCTGAGAAGACGCTGTGTAGAAACATCAGGCAGCGAAACAATGACTATCTGATATACAATTAAGTTTATATTAATTGAAAGTGCAGTAGGTTGGGGCTGTTTGTATTAGTACGGAACTCTCTTTTCGAGCATTTCGATAAAACATAACATCATGAAGGTATTCCATTGAGATTGATTAATTATTTTTTCCTGTTTTCTTGATCGTTAGTTGGCGCTATATGTCAAGAAAACAGGACACAGGAAAGGATGAGGATGTTTCTTGAGCATCTCGATAATTTTAATGACGACAAGAAACTAGTGAACGGTTCAAATAAAAGATGAAAGTGTTAGAAAACGTGGAGTCATGAAGGTGCTCCATAAAGGCGTTGAAGCCACTGATACTTACGCTTTCGAGTGAATACTGATAGTCTAGAGAAAGAGCCATGTTTGGCGAGGTGTAAATCACAAATCTTTTTTACTCCTACAGCGCTATCACAAGTGCTTTTTAGAAAATCAAACAAATTTTTGAGCTATTTGAAAGTTGTGCTATCGAATTGGTACTAGCACTCTAAGGAACGAATTCTGCGAAGCAAAATATGTGTGAGATACTAAAATAGCACATCCTCACGATTATAAGCTCATTGAAGTTTCACGAGAGGACAAACAACCACTCTGTCTCACTTTCATCAAACTGAAGAAAGCCTTTGATTCAGTGGAAACAGAAGCGCTTATAGAGGCTCTGGATAACCAGGGCGTCCCTACTCGGTACATAATGATCCTTCGTGAGCTTTATAGAGATTTCGCGACCAAAAAATCCCATTCTACAACGACATCACCATTGACATAAGAAGAGGAGTTCGAGAAGGCGATACAATTTCGCCAAAACTATTCACTGCCACCCTGCAAAACGTCATGCGAACAATAGAATGGGACAATATGGGAGTGAAAATTGACCGTCGACAATTAAACCATCTTCGCTTTGCTAAGGATATCATCCTCATAACACCAAACATCAGCCAAGCGGAACGAATGCTGACCGATTTCGATAACGCCTGTGGAAAGAGTGGTCTTCAATTAAATCTAACTAAAACGATGTTCATGAAGAACGGATGGGTTTCGAATGCCCCATTCACGCTCAACGGAACGACATGAAGAGGACAAAGAACATCAGACTCCGTGCCCACCTTTTCAACTCGACAATTATCCCTGCCCTAACGTATGCAGCAGAAACCTGGTCGCTACGTAAGCAGGATGAAAAATCACTTGGAGTTATCGAACGCGCAGTCGAAAGGTCGATGCTAGGAGTGTCCCGTATCTCGCAAATGAGAGCAAGGATCCGAAGTTCCGACCTACGTCAACGATCGAAAATCAGAGACGCCGTTCTACACGCCAGGATATCGAAAATAAGGTGGGCCGGACACGTGATGGGCTTCAACGACAATCAATGGACGAAAGCCGTTACCGACTGGATTCCACGGGATATCAAGCGCTCTAAAGGAAGACCACTGTCCCGTTTATCCGATTTCTTCACGAAAGCGATAGAAGAAAGATATGATGTTCAGCGAATCCCTAGAACGAGGAGGACCCACTGGGCTACTCTTGCCGACGATAGGGAGAAATGGAAGAAATTCTGGTACCCGCTCGAGTCACTCGACGATCAAGGAGACGCCACAGGTGATACAGATGATACTAAAATAACACGCGGTTTTGTAAAAGTGAATATTATTTTAGATATTACAGCTCTGCAAAAAGGTGTTTTGAACGGCTAAGTGATGTTATAGTCAAAAATTTAGGCTTTTGATTGATTACTAACTCTCCTGTGAAAAGTTCTTGCAGAGCGGACGAGATCTGATATTCATTTGTCTCTTTGTATCCTGAAAGCACCCAAAATTGTGCAGTATGATTAGCGATGAATTAGCTGTGAAGTTGAAAGAACGGACTTAATGCAGCGAAAACAAAATGTTTCTTTTTTTCGCTACAGCACAAGCAGAGGACGCTTTCTCATGAAATAAGTTTGGCACTAAAATCTCCATTTTTGAGCTACTGAATAACTACTAGGAGCCTGGTGATGGCCTCTTTTTCTAGAAATCAACTTAAGAGGCTAGAGCACATTCCACAAAATGCGAGCGTCTGCGGCAGAAATCATATTCAAAAGCAAAGATTTTCAAAACTTTTGGCGTTTTCCTTTTTCAGAATAGTTCACAAAGTTCTTTCAACGATATAGCTTTTCTTTGGCGATAAAGTTTCCCGAGAGTCAAAATAATGTTATATAAAGTCAAAATTTTTTCTGTGAAATTTATAAAAAAATGGACTGCAATTTCAAAACGCTATCCTTTTTATTAGTATAAGGACTGCGGAGACTTTTTTCAAAACATTCTTAGTATTGAAATCAAATTTATATGAGCTATCGACTGGTTGCAAAAACATGAGCAAAGTAAGAGAGAATGTTTGATATATAACAGCCGAGAATGTGTTTCTATTTGGACACCGTTTTCCCTCCAAAAAATCTAGTGTTTAAGATAGTATTGGTGTTGATATCAGTAAAATGATTTCTGCAGGATTCTTCTCAGTGATATTCCATTGTTAAGTTACGGCAGTGCTTCTTTAAAATCTTAATTAATCCAGATTTGTATTGGAGTACGCACTAATCTCCGTAGCCGTCCGAATGGGACGCCCAGCTACGGATCAAAGTGACCTTCACCGTTGGTAAAAGTTTACATATATATATAAATGTATATACATATATGTATATATATATATATATGTATACATATAATATAT